GCAGGAGAGAGGAAGAGAACGAACACACACAGGAGCAACTGAAGAAGAGAGAGAAGTCACTCGATGTTTCCCTAGAGCAAACAGTTGGCTTCAAGCATCAGTGTGATTTAAATTTTAAACATTCTGTGGAGATTTCTAAGACCATGGAAAGCATATTAACTCAACATAAACTCTCACTAAAATAGTAAAATGTAAGGGCATCATATTTGGCATGACACAAACTAACATGACTCCACTCAGTTATCAAGCTGGACTGCTCGGGTGGAGGAGTGTTGACTTCTTAGTCTAACCTAAGGGCTAGGGAAAGGTTTTCATCCATAGCCAACCTGTGTAGTGCTCCCTCTCCCTGCTCCTCCATAGCCCAGAGAAAAATCAAAGTGGATGGGCAGTGGTCCAGAAGGGCTCTAGGAACGGGCAGACCTAAGGCCTTCCAGGAAGTGGAATGTTTGTTTTGGCAGGAGGATTCTGCAGAGAGCAGAGAAATGGCCCAGATAGAGAGATGGCATGTGTGGACAGGAAGGAAGGCTACCCTGCCAGTGCCTTCACTCAGACAGGGACACAAAAATAGTGAGACCCACACTGCCGTCTATTGATTCCTGACTGTAAGCAAAGGCCAAAATTCATATTGATTACTAAGACCTTTTTCCCTGACCATTCTTTATACGAATTTGTCTGGTAAAAGAAGGAAAATTCTTTGGTCTTTTCTGTAATAAGTACAGCACAGTCTCCAAGTGATTGTACTCTGTGCCCTTTGCTGGTCTCCTTCAACACTTATGATTCATATTTCACGACAAATATTGAGAAATATTCCATCAGAAATAAATATGCTTTCACAGCATATTATACATTTCCCGTGTTTTTCTTCCTTCGTTATCACCAAGGACATTACCCAAAAACCAAATCTTTTTTTTCCAGAGCAACCATATTCTTCAACATTAATCTGTTCACAACTTCCAAGTTGCTGTTTAATGACATCATACTGAGTTTCTGGGGTCCCTTTTAGTGAAGCCGTAATGATGTACAGAGAAAGTTATGTGGCAAACCAATTAAACTATAAACAAAAGGGCTGACCTCAGTATGACTGCAAAATTTCCAATCTTTTATCACTAGTTTCCCCAAAAGTGTTCTCTAGTCTGCTGGCTGGTGTTGCAAAGCAAAGTAAGCAGGCTAACAGTTGCAACCACGATGTAAAACAATGTGTGCGCCTAAGAATTTCTAGGAAGGTCACCTCCACTGATGACTGATAAATTAACCTAAGCAACTTCATTCTCTTCAATTTAATCCCAACTAAAACTGCAAACCCCTCTTTCCAAAGGCTGTACAATGTGGCTCAACTTCTGACTTTTTTCTCATAGGTTTTGATGAGGCACAGGGGCTGAGAGACAGTTCTCCCTGGGTAGGAGCTTGTTTTGCAAGCATAAAGGCTTAAAGCTCAACCAACAGACCCACATAAAAAAGCTAGGCATGAACTAGGCGGTGGTGGCACATGCCTTTAACCCCAGCCCTTGGGAAGGCCAGCCTGGTCTACAAAGTGAGTTCCAGGACAGCCAGAGCTATACAGAGAAACCCTATCTTGGGGGAAAAAAAAATCTGGGCATGGGGGTGTGCATTTGTAATCCCAGCACTAGGGAGAAGGAAGCAGAGATCTCGGGGGCTCACCGGAAAGAGACTGGCCTAGTAGACAAGCTCTAGGACAAGAGACAGCCTTATAAAAAAAAGGTGAAGAATACTTGCAGAATGGCACCTGAGCTTGTCCCATCACCTCTGTGTGTACACACAGTCACAACCCATACAGGCACGCACGCACACGCGCGCGCACGCACACACACACACACACACACACACACACCACACACACCCACACCCACACACACACACAGGTACACGCACATACACAGTCACAAACATGCTCCCCCATAGCCATATGCACCTACTCGAACATGAAAACATACAAACCACACTCACACACACACACACACACACACACACACACACACACACAAAGAGAAACTGTTTCTCCTTGGCCCAACTACTCCACTGCTATTCCCCTCATTTCTCAGTAATGAGAGACTCAAGTCTCAACTTGGAAGCTGAGTCCAATGGTGACACTGGACAAAAAGAAATTAAACTCTAAACATGGTCTGCTTGTCGTGAACTAGTAGGTGGACCACAATTCCACTAGCAAAGTGACAATCTGAAACTATGCAAAGCAGCTCTGCCTCATCCTGGCTTTTGGGTCCTCCTGCTGGCACTCTGTCCCTAATCCTGGGTAAATCTGCATTTCCTCTCACCTGGTATGTATTGTAGTGTGCCTCACAGAAAACCGAAGGGTATGGAAATGAGGAAGTCAGGCTATGGAGTCAGCCACACTAGGGATGAAAAGTTGTCTTTGTCTCTCTCAGGGCCTGAGATTTGAGAATATGAGGCAATCTACATAGGCTGCAGCTTCTTCAAGTGACTGTCACACTCTCTAAAGGAGAACACTCACAGTACAGCCGAGTGGAAAAATGTTACAGCATCAGGGATGAAATCCCAGGTAATGAAAGGAAGCTGTAACACCCTGCACCAGAAGTTGCAATGGACAACCATTCCCCACATCCAACTATGTAGGTGGACAGTTCACAGCAGAGTGAAGGTTGAATTTTCTGCCTGGGTGCCTGCCTATGCTCTAGACTTGGGGGAAAGGCTTATGGCACCACCTTCCAGCAACTTGCCTTCCACACTTCTAAGTTCACCCAGTTGCCCCATCCTCCCCAAAACAGCAATGTGGTTCCTGGTCCCTGCCTCTCTCATTCTGTACAGTGGCATTTCAATTAACTGGGTCAGAGACCACCATGCCCCAAATGTAGATAATTGTAGAGTCTAGGTCTCCAGAAAAGAACAAAGAATAGGAAGCTGAGGCAGCCAACGATAAACAGACTTCATAACTCTGCCTTAGTCAAAGGCATTTTTAAATCACTGGGAGGGTGTTACTATCACTTATCACCAAGAACCATCAGGAATAAACACAAAGTCCCTTTGTGAGCAAAGCAATATACTTGCAACATTGCCTGTGGACCACACCAGATACTGACATGAAAGCCAACCCCATGAATATGTATGCACATGTCTATGTACATCCACTATAGTCACATTCATATTCATATACACACTCCTATGAAACAAACTACAAGGATCTGTGTTGATCAATGCAGCAATTAGTTTCCAGACATCTGACCTGCCTTCTCAGCTATGGGGTGGACTCAGATTATCTGAAACTTCATGGGCTCCTCTGTTCCATAGCCAGAGGCTCAGCTACTCTGTGACTTGTCTGAGAAAGAATTTCACTGTAGCCCAGGTTGGCCTTGAATCTTACTCACTGTGTAGCTCAGGATGACCTTAACTCCAGATCTTCCTGGCTCCACCTCCAACAGCTGGGAATTTTTTAACTGCTTTCTTCCTGAACTGAAAACATCACCTTCAATCTACAGAAGTAAGTTTCCATCTAGATCTTCTAGTGTGAGTCCAGAAGAAATGGACTTCCAGGTTTTTAACTGCAGACAGGGTCCATTTGTGATGGTGCTACAGGCAGGAAAAAGAGTCTATATCCCACACTATTTCAAAACGTTTATTTCTCTTCCTTGACCTGAAGTTTTATCTTTCTTTTTCTCAATGAAGAGTAAGTTTATAATACTAAAAATAATTCCAACGGCACTGGCTAAAGAAGTACAGTCAGCAAAAAGTCATTAATAAAATCATTAAAATATTCCAGTTTAACTCCAATTAAAATTTATGAGGCATAAATCTTTAACATATGTTCATTTCTTTAAATTGTAAATTACTGTTCTTCCAACCCAAGGACGTCTTGTACAGTAAAGCAGCCTGCTGTTTTCTCAACAATGAAGAAGAAAAGGCAGCTGTTTCTATGAAGCTCATTACAGGATAGTAAAACTGACACAAATTTCCTCTCACCTGGTATGTATTGGTAAACATGCCAGGTTTTAAAAATAAGTCTTCTGATTAGATTCACTCTAATCAATAGCCTAATACTGAACTCAATTACATCACAAGTCACTATTTGCCCCACAATCCCAACCACTAACAAGAAGAGCTATCATGAGCTATACTTTCCAACATGGTCATAATGACAGCCCAAGTACAGGGCTGGCATCATCATTCCACACAAAGTTTACACGGGTCTGTGCACATTCGACAGAGACCCACTGAGAGAGGTACACCACGCAGAAGCCAGTGGCCGTCCTAGATAGGCACCTAAAGGCCTGTATCCACAGTGTCTTACTCACACATGGTGCTTGTTTAGGCACAAGGTTCCGGATTCTGTGGATAGTGTACTAGGGTAAGCCTTCTGGAGATCTCGGGAGGAGGGACTTTACATGTGGAAAAGGCATGAAGCAAAAGGGGTCACAGGGTACACACAGTGGTTGGAAGCTGCCTCCTGGTATTCGTGACCTTGATTCTGCTTCTTCAGGGCTGTGGAGAGTATACCTCTATCCCCTCTTACCTTGAAGTTGATCCCTCTAAGGAAGCCAGCTGTCATAATAGTCTACTACCCCATCCTCCGCAGAGGCCCACTTAACAAGGAAGCAAGGGAAACAGTCTACTAGTAGCCTCACAAAATTAAATGTCACTAACCAGGATCTGAGCATCTAGCCCTGTGAGAAGACTACAGTGTGTACCCACACTTTGACTTGAGCTCTCTGGGTCCCAGAACCACAGGACACAGCTAAGTCACTTCCTGGTCCACAGAAACTGGGGTGATGAACATGCTGTGTTATGGTGCCCAGCAATGGATAACTAACAGGTATCCACTACATAATACTACTGAATGTATCAGGTGAAGAGAAATCATAATATATATTTGAGAGCATATGACAGAAGAATAAAGAGAAGACATATTTGCTTCTAGAAAATCCTATGTAAACACACCGGGGGAAATTTTACTTCCTTTATAATAAAGGGGAAATCCTTTGATTAGAATGTTTACCAAAAAGCTTCCTTACCTTGGATGCACTGCAGTGTCCCATCCTCGGCTCTTATGGTAAAGGTCTCACCCGGGTTAACTTGGACAAGAATAACCTGTGAGAACAAGACAGAAACTTCCAGTTAACACCAATGCATGGGGTATTCTGACAGAAACTTCCAGTTAGCACCAATGCATGGGGCATTCTGACAGAAACTTCCAGTTAGCACCAATGCACTGGGCATTCTGACAGAAACTTCCAGTCAGCACCAGTGCACTGCACATTCTGACAGAAACCTTCAGTCAGCACCAGTGCACTGTGCATTCTGATAGAAAGTTCCAGTTAGCACCAAGCACTGCACATTTTGCCTCTTTTGCGATCTGAGGTACTCGGCAGGAAGCACATGTCACCAAATTTTCTATCAGCACAAAACTCAGGGTATAAATCTTAACCCCACTCAAATTTTGGGAAATACAGGAAAACATGCATTTGTACACAGCTTAGTATACTGGCCCATACTGTTTACATTATATAACTAAAACGATTATGCTACACTTTTTCTTTGGCAAACACATTTTTTCTTTTCTCTTTCATGAGTTGAGACACAGACTTAAATTAGAAAAACAACACACACACAAACTTTACATACAAAGGAAAGCTGCCCAAGAAATGAATATCTGACCTACCACTATTGGGAGGTGTAGCTGTATTCAATAACAATAGAAGGCAATTCATAAAATTAAAAAAGGCTGGGAAAGACTATCTGCACATAAACCTTAAATAATAAACAGCATAAAAAGAAATGAGCCTCAGCAAATGTTTCAGTATATAACCTAGAATTGGAGTTTCCTTCACATAGACATGGATATCTAATATTAGAAGACAACTTCCAAACACCAAGATGGGGGGCAGCTGGAGGGAAGTCTGAACAGCAGCCTCACAGATTTAGTTCTAATCAAAGGAAAACTCACTGATTTAAAACTAAACACAAATAAAGGGTCATAATTGTAGTTATACATCAGGAGGGACAAGACCAGCACTGTACCATTCGTAGACACGACACAACAATGCTGTCATTCCTTCTTGTCCTTGCAGTAAGCCTGCTCTAACACACAGAAACCTTCAATCACTGTCCCTTGTTCCTTGAGGTGAATCCTCCACACACATTACTACATCTGTAAACAGCTGGCATCTACTCTTTTTTTCTAGAACTTACAACTGCAAATAACTAAGTATTTTTAGCAGTTGCTTCCTTCTTTAACTGGGGTGTTATTAGGGCAAGATCTGACTGACTAACCCAGTGAAGGAGGGTTGTAAAAGATAAGGAAAACTGTCTCACAAGGTTAGCTCAAGAATTAAGATCTTATAAGATTAGAGACTGGAGAGACCGCTCAGTGGTTGAGAGAGCTCACTGTTCTCGCTGAGGATGGGAGTCAGTTCCCAGAACCCACACTGTGGTTCACAGTCACCTGCAACTCCGGTTCCAGTGGATCCAACACCTCTTCTGACCTCTGAGGACAGACGTGGCACAATATACTATACCCGTGTAGGACCCACACATATTCACAATTCTTTTAAAGAGTCTCATGAGATGCAATTTAACATCAACCTCTTTTATGTACCACAATTTTCCTGCTCTGTAACACTATTCAGATCAAAGTAATTTATTTATAATACAAATCTTTAACATCCACATATGTAGTTCAAGTAATAATTCACAACAGGAGATACTGCTGAGGCATGGATTTCTTTTAATTAGGAGCTACGTTAACTAAAAATCATCAGGAACATTCAGGGGAAAGCAGTTCAAGCCTCATCCCAGATGCTTCATCAGATTTTGCAGGATAAATTGTTTCAAGATAATTTGCTTTTCCCCACCCCCAACCCACAGTAATTTCGAGTTCTCGCTAATGTGAAGGTGGAATGTCATTTGAAGAACTCAAAAGGAGGGGCTAGAGAGATGGCTCAGTGGTTAAGAGCACTGGCTGCTCGTCCAGAGGTCCTGAGATCAATTCCCAGCAACCACATGGTGGTTCACAACCATCTATAATGAGATCTACTGCCCTCTTCTGGTCTGTAGGCATGCAGGCAGAGCACGGTGTACAAAAAAAAAAAAGAAAGAAAGAAAGAAAGAAAAGAAAAAAAGAAAAAGAAAAAAAAACTCAAAAGGAAATCCCTTCAGATCTGCAGAGTGATTAAGGCATCTCCGCTGCTCTCCAGCCGCAGGTTTAGTCATTCCTTTAACACGGAAATTGTCTGAGTCAGACTTGTTTTTATATAAACATACATCATGTCTCTATTACACTACACCCAGTAAAACAGAACTGCAGTAAAGGGAGGGAAATGAACCTAAGGGAGGAAGAACCACAGAATATCAGGGATATGAAGGCAAAGGAGGAAAAACAGGGAATGAGCTTTAAGTGGGGAGAGAGACAGGAGAGGGAGGTAACGGAGGGATGGAAGAACAGAGAGAGCAAGAATGTTAAGGAAAACCATCTGGAAATCTAGCACTTAATAATCTTCTTAAATGTATTTATTTTTCATATAAAATAGTTTAATTGAAGTTACCCCACATAGGAGATAATGCTTGTCCAAAACTCCCAGGCCAGGTGTGGGATACCTCTCCTGGAGTTGTTGGTCAGACCCCTCAGAACAATGTAAACTATTCCCATTGCTCTTGGTTGCCCAAGAACTTGATGGATAAGACCCTACTACTGGAGAGTCTAATACTTGGGTCACAGGACACAGAGAAATCAAGCTGGTGCTGACTCAGAAGCTTCCTCCGTGCTGGAGAACTTTCCTGGTACCACAAGCTGCAGTACAAGCTGCTGGAGAGAGAAGTCATTAGCATCTTACTCAGCTGTGGACTCTGAGCTACAATAACAGCCAGCATGACAAGGCATGTCCATGGTTTCAATGGTGGTACAAGATCATGGGGGTATCCAAACATTCTGTAATTCAGAAATCCTTTTTCTTTCCTGGGACTTGCCATAACACTGCAGGTTGTATTCTGTGGGCCACTGCTAACAAGTCTATGGGACAAGAGAGTATATGATTTTTGGAGTTGCCAAGGGTAATCAAGGACAGAGTCTGGGTGTTCATTGACTTTTTTCCTTACCCTAAATCCACAGGCATACATTATAAACTTATTTTTAGAGGTTTAAACATAAAGCAGATGGTTTTGACCCCATCACCATGATGCTAGAATCTGTCTAAGGACTTAACAATAATACAAGTATCATTTTCTTTTTAAAAAATACAATACTTTTAGTTTTTGAGAATTCTATACATGTATACAATGTATTTGATCACATTCACTCCCCATTAACTCATCCTAGACCCATTGTCCACTCTGTGTCTTTTTTCTTTTTTCTTTTTTTTTAGCCCCCAATAATCCACAGAGTCTAATTTGTGTTGCCCAAATCCCCATGGGTGTAGGACCATCCATACACTGGAGCATGATTATGCTATCAGAGGCCACACTTAGCTGCCACCAGCTGCCACTAGTTCTTCAGCCAGAGGCAGAGTGAGCCTTCCCTCTTTGTAGGCTAGAATGTCAACTACTTAATATTGTGCAGTCGAGCACAGTTGCCGAGAACAGGAATGCAGCGTTCCGTCATGACTGGGACTGTTTCAATCCAGTCCTCCCAACCTCTGGCTCTCAGAACCTTTCTGCCCTGTCTTCTATGATGGTCCTTGACCCTTAAGGGAAAGGGGCGGTGACTGATGTCCCATTTATGGTGGACCACTCCATCGATTTACGTTCTACATGTTGACCAGTTGTGGGTTTGCTAACCACCACCCACTACACAGAGAAAACTTCTCCAGGGAGGTCTGATCACTAATCAGGAAAGTTATATTTAGAGGGAATTTTGATACTATGTTCATTCAGCCCTGGCCTATGATCTTCTGACCAAGAGCTGAGGATCTTGCTCAGATTTAAAGTAAGAGGCATGTGTTTCTTCCTGTGGAGTATGCTTTACTCTTCTTTCACAACCCCACATTCATATACTCTCTTCTCCCACACACTTGTCAGCAATGGCCCAGAGAGTACAACCCAGAGGTATAATGGAAAATCCCAGGAAAGAAAAAGGATTTCTGAACTAATGTCATACTCTCTGCCTACCATACTGCATGAAGAGTCTTGACAGTCTTTGGTGATCACTGACACCAGGCCACAATTCAAAGCATGATCTGGAAGCACTCTGCCTCCTCTGAGTACATATGTAACGTCCGTGTTACACACTCACACACACTAGCTTACAAATCAGTTCCTAATCCCCTATACTTCAATTCTTCAGGGAGGAGGATGATAGGTAAATGGCTTTTAAGCAACATACCAACATATCTCTCTTCAAATGTTTTAGTTCATGTAATTTTTACTGCTGCTAAATTGCTATGACAACCAGATTATAATCTGTCAAGCTACCTTACAAATGAGGCAAAGTTCATGCCTCTTAGTAGTGATTTCTCTTCTCACAAGAACAGAAGTCACAACTGGAATGAACTGTTCTGAACTTGGCACTGGTTATTTTTAGGAGAAAGCATTTTATTTTACTGAGACTGACCACTGTGCCACTGTTGCTGCCAATGACCGAGATAAAAATAAAGCTGTGACACAGCAGCCCAATGGCCTGTCCTGACAACAGGCATGAACGAGCCACCTTGCATTATGAAGTTTGGAGGAGTATGTGTCACATCTTGGAGACAAAGGGCACCAAATCTTCTGTATCATCAAGTCAGGTCTCTCTCTCCTCCCTCCCCCTCTCTCCTCTCACCCTCTCTCTCCTACCTCACTTCTCTCTCTCTCTCCTTCCTCACCCTCTCTCTCCTGTCCCACCCTTTCGCTCTTCCTATAGCTGCCTTAAATTTCATTTAGGACAGTAAGTGAAAGCCATCATCATTTCTGTTCAGTTATTGGCCATTTGCTGCTTTTCACAGTTAGCATTAAACCAATTCATATTCATGCTGTGCTGTCTTTTGTTAAAGGGGGAAAAGAAGGATTTTTGTTGTTCTTCTTCTTCTTGAGATGGTTTCTCTGTGTAACTCTGGCTGTCCTGAAACTCACTCTGTGGACTAGGTTTGTCTCAGACTCACAGACCAACCCCTGCCTCT